AGATTTGGAAAGACTCAGATCTGTTTATTGTCCATACTAATAGTGTGAAAATGGCTATGTCCAAACCCTGCACCTTTCCTGGGCAGCACAATAGAACCAATCCTGTTGGTGGAGGTGTGGGTGAGCCAGCCCTGAAGCTGTGAACATTGGAGAGCTCTCCCCATTATTCATCTGTCATGTGGCAGCATGAGTTGGGGAAAGATCTGCACCCCAATCAATGCCTGAGGCAGGTGAGAGAGTCGGCCCTGAGACCATAAAGGTGGGAGAGCTGTTCCTGCCCCATCAGCGGCAGCACTCAGGAGCGTGGCCCCTACCCCCATGCCTGGGCAACTGGGCAACACAGTAGAGCTGGCCCTGAAGGTGTAGGTGTGGGAGAACCTGAGGACATGAAAGCAGGAGAACTGGCCCCGCCCCTTGCTTATCACCTCAAGGGGTGAACTAGCCAGGCCAATGCAGGAGAGCTCATCCTGGTGGTGAGGACAAAGGAGAGTTGGTGGGCTGACCAACTCTGCAACTAGCCAGGCCCAGAACCAGGATTATGTGTTGGTTCACCCCAACATCCGCCCCATCTGTGATCTGCTGGAGCACGTGAAGAGACTGGTTCTGCAGATCCAAAGCTGCAGGACCTCCATGACACAGGGCAACAACAGGATATCCAAGAGGAAGTTCAGTGAGGGCTCGGCATCAATTGTGTAGCAGAAACCAGAGGCCTCGAATCAGTCAATCACTCTTTACAATGATCACTTGCAAGTAAAGATATGGATAAATGGATAAAGGGGTTTGCTGCATCACACTACAGCTTCCATTGACAAGACTGATTTTTCTTTGTTTTTTTTCTCTTAAATTTTATTTTATTTTGGGGGGAGGCTGGAAGGGCAGAGAGCAGATATGAAGGGATGGGGAAATGAATGGGATGGAGATGCATGATGTGAAAGACACAAAAAAGAAAAAAAGGAAGTTTAAAAAAGGAAAATGGCTATGTCACTCAAAGTAATCTGTGGATTCAGTGGAGTCCCCATAAAATTCCAATTACATTCTCATACAAATAGAAAGACCCCAAGATTCACACAGAAGCACAGAAGACCACAAACGATAACAGAAACACTGAGCAAGAACAGTGCTAGAAGCATCACAACTTCTGATTTCAAATGATAACACTGATCTGCACAGTAAAAAAGAGTGATACTGGCACAAGAAGAGATAATGGAGGCCAGTGCAATAGAACAGAGGACCCAGATGTGAACCCCCAGCTGCCTCCATTTGATCTTCGACAAAGCTAAGAGAGCCCATGGGGGAATGATATTAAAACAAGAAGAGATAATGGAGGCCAGTGTAGTAGAATAGAGGACCTGAATGTGAACCCGAAGCTGCCTCCATCTGATCCTCAACAAAGCTAAGAAAGCCCCTGCAGGAATGATGCTGTTAAAACAAGAAATCCACAGGTAGATGGCAGAAACAATGCCAATCTTTCATGCTATACAAAATCAGTTCAAATGATCATCCCAGACGATAAACACCACTAAAGCAGTAAACAGTAATGGATGCTGGTGAGGACATGGTGAGATGGGATCCCTTGACTGCTGGAGGGAATATAAGTTATTGCAGCCAGAAAGGAAATCAGTATAGATATCATTCAAACACCAGAGCTAAAACTGCCTTAGGTTCCATGTAGGCTGCTTTTGGGCATATAGCTCAAGAAATCAGTCAGTGCATAGTAGAGATAATTATATATCTGTGTTTATCATGGTCTTATTCACAATAGTCAAGTTATGGAACTAATTTACATGTACATAAAATGATGGCTGGGCAAAGAAAACATAACCCCCATACACACGTGTACACACACACACACACACACACACACACACACACACACACACGATAGTTTTATTCAGCTATAGAGAAAAAAGATCAGGGCTGGGGATATGGTTCAGTGGGTCAAGTGCTTGGGTGCAAATCTCCAGCACCATTGTAAAAAGCCATGCGTGGTTGTGAGTGCCTATAATCTCCAATCTTGGAGGTGAAGACAGAGAATCCCCGTGAGCTTGCTTGTGAGACAGTTTGGCCAATTTGTGAGTTCCACATTCATCGGGAGACACTGTCTCACAATGTGTGGTGGAGGCTGGGAAAATGGTTCAGTGCACAATGCCTTTGTCATGCAAACATGACGATTGGAGTTCAGATCTCCAGAATCTGCTTCAAACCTGGGTAGGTGTGGTAGCTACCTGTAATCCAAGCACTTAGGGGGCAGAAACAGGGTGTGATGGTAATTTTATGTCAACTTGACACAATCTAGAGTCATCTGAAAGGAAGGAACCTCAAAAAATGCCTCTATAAGATCCAGTTGTAGGGCATTTTCTTAATTAATGATTGATGTTGGAGGACCCAACCTAATTTAGTGGTGCCATCCCTGGCCTGGTGGTCCCGGGTTCTATAAAAAAGCAGGCTGAGCAAACCATGGGAAGCAAGCCAATAAGCAGCACTCCTCCAGGACATCTGCATCAAGTTCTATCTCCAGGTTCCTGCTCTGCTTGAGTTCCTGCCCTACCTGAGTTCCTGCCCTTACTGTTTTTGATACTGAACTGTTCTATGGAACTGTGAGTGTAATAAACCCTTTCCTACCCAAGTTGCTTTTGGTCATGGTGTTTCATCATAGCAATAGCCACCCTAACAAGACATGGGGAATCCCTAGAGCAAGCTACCATGTTGCTCCCATACCTTAATTAATTTCTTATCCTCATATCCTTGAACTTCATTGACAGTTTTAAAGAGGATGGGCTGGTCTGGGTTTTCTGTCATTTCTGTCCTTGTTTAATATCTGCTGTTGTAGCTTTGTTAGTGTCTTTCAGAAGGCTCACAATTTCTTTTTTTCTCTCTGATTTTGAGCACTTGTGGAGACAATCATTTCTTTTTCACTCTTCATGGTGTTCCTTGGCACCCCCAAGTGTCTAATCTGTGATGCTGAATGGACAGCTGCTGCTGGCCCTGAGCAGTCGGAACATGCTTTCAGTTTCTCTAGATAGCTGGGTAGGTCCCTTTGCTCTGAATTTGGGTGGGGCAGTTGACTGGGCTTTGCTGTTTGGCAAGACCACTGGCTGACATCTGCAACTAGGCTGCGCAAGAGGATGTGCACTAAAGTTGCCTCAGGGCTGGTGGCACACTGAGTGTGCTCTCTGGTTACAAGGTTCTGTGATTTGAGCTAATCTGTGGGGCAGGTTAGCAGCAAAAGCTTTAGTGGCCAGGAGATCAGGATGGAGTCTAATGAATATCAATTAGCAGCTTCTAACCCCTCACTGTCCAGCCTGCCAGCACCAAACTCACCAAAAGGGAGTTGTATGTTTCTCATCTTTTCCTGCTGTGGTCCTTATGACTACTTAAATATTCAGCCCCAGTATGGAGTTATATGGATATATACACAGAGAAGATATAGCAATAGATTTGGAGATAAGTTGTAGATAGAATCTTACCTTTCCCCCATTCTTCTTGCTGGATGTGGCAAGCAGGCTTGTGTAGAAGGGAAGATACAGTCACCAAAGGACACTTCTCTGCTCTGGAGAAGTGCATTTAAAAGCTAGAAGGAAGTAAAGTTTATCAATACACCAGACAGCCCTGTGGTTTCCTGCTCAGAGTCCTTTTGACAAATGGGAACGTAGGGTCTGTTACATCATGTTCCTCCTGAGACATTTCTCAATCTCTGGTTTTGCTATGGTTTTATCTCTCAACTTGTACTCATCCCAACCCCTCTGTGTCCTCCTTTCTGTGGTTGTTGTTTTGGCAGGTGGAGTTTCCTGCCACCAAGACCATAATGCCAAGCAAGGTGAGCTGTGCTGGTGAGCGCTCAGTAAGGATGGAGCAAAGTCTCTCTAGTTACACTGCACTCCCCATACCCTGGCTTCTTCTTTTCTCTGTTAAAGCAGTGATGTCAGCACATTTCCAGCTTCTTGCAAATAGCACAAAAATGTATCAAACAAAAGGTGAATGTGTTATAAAACATTGTTCTTTGGAAGCAATTGCTTGTTAAAGTGTTTATTCCTAAATATTTTATTAGTTGAGATTATAGTTTTGATTAGCAAACATTCATTTTTATTTTTTAGAATTTGTCTCTGTTAATGATTACATAATCCAACTCCCTTCATGAGATGTAAAGATGTTGTTACACATACTAGACACATTGAGGAGTGACTAAGAGATCATTTATTTATTTATTTGAGACGTGATCTCATGTATTCCAAGATAGCCTTGAACTTGCTATACACCTGAGAATGACCTTGAACTTCTGATTTTCTTGTCTTTTTCTTTTAATAGGAGGATTATAGGCATGTTCCACCATAGCTAACTGTATATGGTACTGGGGACCAAACCAGGGATTTGTGCAGGCTAGAGAAGTGCTTTACATGCTGAGACACATCCTCATCCCCAGCCAGGAGTGAGAGATTTAAACAGGTAGTCTGTGTCTGGTTAGTAAGTAGCAGTGAATGGAACAAGGGCACCAAGAATGTGTGCAAAGTTGTGATTATAACAACACATTGTGGGATCTGAGTTAGCAAACGTGGATGTGATGGTCAGTGTGCTATGTTGGCAAGAGACTGGATTTCATGTGGGAAGGCCATGGGAGCCGAGGCTCTAGGGAAAACAGCTTATCGGAAGAGGCAGGCAGATGCTGTGGTAATGAGGACTCTGGCAGTCCTATTGATGTAGAAGATGACAAGATACAGAGCTGGTGGTTGTATGGAGTGAATGACAAGGTTAAAGAAGGTTTGAATATAGAGAAGTGAGGACTGACTATCTAGATGGATATGGTAGTTACTGTAAGTGGGGACAGGGCTGGTGCTCAAAAAGTCTGTAAACCAGACAGGTCATAAAATAATATAGTAAACACACACCCACTAGTGATATTAAGAATGTAATGCTTTTATTACTTTCTACAGATTTCTTTTAAAAAAAGACTACATGTCTAACTAGTGGCCCAACTGTACATCACCTTTTGCAATCAGCTGAGCCAATGACATCACACCATGACACCTTGCCTGGGCCTGGACTCACAGCACTATAGCATTTCCTCATAGCTGGTGGGTGTTCTAAAGGTGTCTTCTATAGCATTTAGACACATGCTGGCTAGTTTTTGTCAACTTGACACACAAAACCTAGACATATTTGGGAAGAGGGAATATCAACTGAGAACTGGCCTTTATCAGAATGTCCTGTGGACATGTCTATGGGGAATTTTCTTAATGAGTAATGGGAAGTTTTCTTGAGAAATGGTGATAACGTGTGAGGGCCTTGTCTGAAGTGGGTAGTATCTGGGCAGGTGAACAAGCTGAGCAACCTAGGGAGAACAAGCCAGTAAGTAATGTTCCTCATGGTCTTCGCTTCAGGTCCTGACACCAGGTTCCTGCCTTGGCTTCCCCTGTGATGAACCTGTAAGCCAAATAAACCTCTGCCTCCCCAAGTTTGTGTTGGTCAGTGTTTTATCATAGCAGCAAAGAAAACTAGGACAGAAACATATAGTGTTTGGAATCAGCAGAGTCCTGGACTAAGGAGAGCTTTGAATCTAGAGTCAAGGAACCTGAATTTGCAGCATTGAACCATGTTATAAGAGCCATCAAGTGGAGGGGGGGGGGAGCTGGAGAGATGGTTCAGCGGTTAAAAGCACTGGCTGCTCTTCCAGAGGACTTAGGTTCAATTCTCAGCATCCACATGGCAGCTCACAACTGTCTGTAACTCCAGTTTCTGGGGATCTGACACCCTCACACAAATACACATAGAATAAAATTAAATTTAAAAAGAGCCATCAAGTATGGGAAGGGCAGAGGTGTGTGTGTGTGTGTGTGTGTGTGTGTGTGTGTGTGTGTGTGTGTGTGTGTATGTGTGTGTGTGTGTATGTAGTGAATATATAGGCTATATGATTTTTTTATATGAAAATATCTTTATGATACCCATTACTATGTCTAATGAACATATACCAATTAAAAAAAAACCATCAGTATATTTGGTTGGGAAATTTGAAAACTAGATGGTATAATTTTATAGCTATTTTTAAAAGACTTTATTTTTACTTATGTGTATGTGTGTGCTTTGTGTCTGTGTACATGCACATGTGTGCAGGTACCTATGGAGGCCAGAACATGGCACTGGGTCCCCAGAAGCCAGAGATATAGGCAGCTGTGAGCTGCCTGATGGGGGGGCTGGGAACTAAATTCTTTGGATGGGCACCAAGCATTCTTAATTTCAGAACTGTTTTTCCAGATCCTCATAGCTATTAAAAAATTGTGTTCTGAATATTCACAGTCTAGTTGTTAATAAGTAGACTCCTGGCTACAGATTCTGCATTGTTTTAGCGTTTCACAGTGGTCCCTTCAGTATGCATGGGTTCTTTGTGGGATGATTTACCACTAGTATCAAATAGTCCTAAACTCTTTGAACTAATTTTTACCTGTATAATTGACACAACTATGGGAGGATTGATTGCTCTAAAATCATTCCCCAAGAGGACTGACCATTCAGACTGAGCAAAAGTCATAGAACAATTGATATAAAGTCTTGAAATATCCATGGTTTCCAACCACGTAATAAACTTGTAAACTGTTAATAAATGGTTTCTAGGATATGTTTTATTTTGAAATAAATACTGAGATTAGAATGTTAAATTGAGATTGGCCTTAAATATTTCTAGAATTCAAATTATTCTGGGTGAAAACTAAATAAATACCAATTTTCAAGGGTACAGGAACAGTCTCTACAGGGCTTATGCCAGCTTCTTGGGTATTCATACTGCAGGCAGTGAGGCCATCCTTAACACACTGTATTCTGAAGACTTGATGATAAAATGAGACTCTGGAACTCATTCACTCAGAACCAAGCCACCCACCTGCAGCAACACCCAGTCAGAGAACAGAGTCTGAGAGAAAAAATAAGGGATTGTAGTTTCTAACTGTCATGTACACAACAACTACAAATAGAACTTTTGGGGTTTGGTAAGGGAATTTCCATTGTGGTGAAAGTAAAAAGTGCTCAATAAGAAATGATTTAGAAAGCACAACTAAGATTCTTCCTTTATTTGTATAGGGGAACCCAAGCATTCTATTTTCAGACTAATGCTGTCTCAAAGAAAATCATGAGAAGCCAGAATAAAGCAAATCCATGTTGGGGAACCCCAAGGCATTTTATGTACATGAGGCAGAGAGACGATCAGAAAGCTGTCAAGTGTGCCAGGGCAGTGCTCACTTCAAAGTTAGGCTGTAAGGCTCCTCATCACTGCTTCACTCTGCAGCCTGGCATCTCCAAAATTCTCTGAGGAAGGCTTCCTCCACATTCATCACCCCCAGGAATGTCCTGCAGAGCCTTTTGGGGAATGGCCTGAGGGTCTGTTGACTCAGCTTCTGCTTCAAGTTCCAGTAAAATAAGTTATGATGTCTGAGCAGTGTTCATCAGGGCAGGACACACAATGCAATGACCTTACAGAGGAATGATCTATAAGAAGTTTGAACCTATAACCTAAAGAACCTTGGATGCCACTTTGTGAGCTGCAAGACAGGAATATGAGGACCAGAGACAGGATAGTCACATGGATCCTGGCCAGTTGCATACTCTGTGACACACAGTTGGAATTGTAGCTACAAAAAACCTCAAGTAAGAATGTTAGCAATGGGCTGATACCGAAATAAAGTGCTTCAAGACCTGCAGAAGACTGCATCAGTCAATACTCCAGCAGGAATGAGGGAAGATACACCCACCCCTAGCTGGAGAACGACAGACAGTCAATGCTGCTGAGTCATGGGGGTAGGGTTTCCACAGGGACAAGACCCCTGACATGTTGCCCATGTCCAAGTGGTCAGCATAAATACATAAGAGCAACACTTAATGGACTCAGTAGACTATATATGTATGAAAACACAACCAAAGTGTGTAGTTTCTGTTCTGTTCTATTGCTAGAAGATATACTATGACAAAGGCATTTTTTTTTTTTTTTTTTTTTTTTTCGAGACAGGGTTTCTCTGTGTAGCTTTTTGCCTTTCCTGGAACTCACTTTGTAGACCAGACTGGCCTCAGACTCACAAAGATCCCCCTGACTCTGCCTCATGAGTGCTGGGATTAAAGGTGTGCACCACCACCGCCTGGCTAGGCAATTTTTTTAAATTAAACTTTTTTATTTATTTTATATACCAACCACAGTCTTCCCTCCCTCCTCTCTTCCTGTTTCCTCCCCTACCTTGAATCTATCTCCCCAACTCCACTCCTTCACCATTCAGAAAGGGCAAGGCCTCTCATGGGAGTCAACAAAGCATGCTGTATCACCTTGAGGCAGGACCAAGCTCCTCCCCCTGCATCAAGGCTGGGCAAGGCATCCAGGCATGGGGAACAGTTTAAAAAAATACAGCTCATGCCAGGGACAGGTCCGGATCTCACTGCTAGGGGTCTCACAAACAGACCAAGCTACACAACTGTCATCCACACGGGGCCTAGGTTGGTCCCATGCAGGCTCCCTAGCTGTCCGTCCAGAGTCTGTGAGCTCCCACAATCTCAGGTCAGCTATCTCTGTGGGTTTCCCCAT